AGTTAAAAATGATGACTTTGAGTTTAAAAGTCAAAGTCAACATATTTGAAAGAAATTATTTATTTTACTTCCTAAGTTCCTCCAAAGCACTAGCATAAACTCGAAAAGGACTCCCACTTATTTGTAAAAATAATCAAGAGTACTGAAACTACGCTTCTAGAGGTTGTGAAGATGAGGAAATTGTTAAAGTTCTAAAATCTGTCGCTGGAACTTCGTCAAAAGTAACAATCTTTGTAAAAGAAAGCGGAGGTTCTGATGGTTCCGGGAGGGTTGACCCTTGGCCCTCAAGCATGAAAACGACTGACGACATGTTAGGTCGATCTTTAGGATCTTCTTGAACACATAACAACGCGATATGTATCCATCTCAAAGTCTTGTTTAACGGACAATTTTTTATCAAGATTTTGTCTATCAGATCCTCTCCTCTACCCTCCTTCCACGTCCTCCATGCCTTTGAATTGACAAAACTACGATGTTAGGTTTGTTATAATGTGTTGCTTCTTAATTGTCGGAAGTTGTATTATAGGGATAAATAATAATCTGATGGTTTTGATATTTTTGGGATTGGACTTACATATGAGAGAAGAGTTTCATCATGCTCTTGGAAGTAGAATCCATTGTTTCTTCTTCCATGAATGATTTCTAGGAGCAACACACCAAAGCTATAAACATCGGACTTTGTTGAGAATAATCCTTCCATTGCGTATTCGGGTGCCATGTATCCACTGTAAAAAGAGGTAACATTGGTTTTAAAGTGAATATAATGAAATTGAAACTCTATAGAAGTGAAAGATGACTTACTATGTTCCAACAACTATGTTAGTCTTGGCTTCAATTTGATTTGTCCCAAAAATTCTAGCAGTGCCAAAATCTGATATCTTGGGATCCATGGCGTCATCTAGAAGAATATTGCTCGTTTTCAAGTCTCTGTGGATGATCTTCAAACGTGAGTCCTCATGAAGATACCTAAGTCCTTTTGCTACACCACATATTATCTTCTCACGCTTAATCCAATTTAATTCCTTAGCCTTAGCTGGATCTGAAAACGTGGAACTAGCAAGTAGTCAGAGACTCGGTCTGACTTTGTTGTTACACAGACCAAATCTTAACTTCAAAATAGATATGGGTTTATTAACTACTAGAAAAGAAAAAAATATAAGCAAAGTTGAACATTTTGGATTTGAAATGTATTAGAACATCCACAATATTCAAAGTCTAGTCTTTCTTTAAATAAGCTTTGTAAAGTCAAATAAGCTAGTGTATTGAAATTTTTTCATCTTATAGCTTTTTCAAATTGCTTGTTTGATTTACAAGCTCTACTAGAGCTTTTTCATCATTTTAATAGTATTATTTTATTTTATCTTACAAAACACAAATAAATAAGTTTTATGGGACCATAATTAAGCTTAATTTATGCAAAATCATTAGATATATAGTTGAGATAGGTTAAGCTTTTCGTTTTATTGAGTTGGCACATAAACCAATTTGTAAAAAAACTTTCCTACCGTGTATGCTCTTAGATTCATATACGAATTCAAACACCAAAAAGTCTCATAGAGAAAAAGTACACATACCGAATAGGAATGAGTCTAGGCTTGTATTAACCATGTATTCATAGACTAGAAGCCTTTCGTCGCCTTTTATACAGCAACCTAAAAGCTTCACCAGATTCTTGTGTTGTAGTTTTATGATCAATCTTACTTCTGTCTTGAACTCTTCTAGTCCTTGGCTCGAATTCTTGGAAAGCCGTTTCACAGCTATTTCCCTTCCATCGTCCAACTTCCCCTGGACCAATGTATACATTGATTACATTCAATTCCCATCGATTTCATCATGAAAAAGCATAGTTTTTTTTAACTTTTTTTTTTTATTATCAAAAGATATAGACATGAAAAGTTGACAAACTGAGAAAGTCATACCAGGTAGACAGGGCCAAAACCACCTTCTCCTAGCTTGTTTTCTAGTGAGAAGCCATTCGTGGCATCTTGTATAGTACTTAGATGAAAATGATGCATTTCAAACGTATCATCGTTGTCTCCATCAAACTTGCTTTTATCCACATAGATGCTTGATGTAACATCGCTTTCATGGTCTTTATAGTCTGCATCAATACGAACAATTAATACAACTTAATGATAAACGGAGAACATTTAGAGTAAAGCAGTAGATCATTTCCGATTTTGACCCACAAACACCTTTATGTTTGAGTTTAAAATGGTGCCTATGCCATATAAAGAAACCAGATATTGCAATCAATGCTCCAGCTGTGAATAGGATTCCTATGAACTGTCCCTTAATGTATGTTCCCTTTGTCTCTGTAATAAAACCTATTGAGTTAAAAAAGTGTCAGTGCTAACCAACATTACAACATATATATCTGAATACAAGAACAAATTAAAATCAACCTGATTGTGGGGATTGCAGAGATGGTGGATGAGTAGGAAACCATGTCTCATTAAAGAACCGATATAACTCATACCTTGCGTTGCAACCCCTCTTGTAAACTCTACTTCCGATTCTTCCAAATGAACAGACCTGAAGCAAATTGATGGCGTCCACTAAGCACTGGTTGCATTGCGACTCTGATAGATCAGGAGTGCATTGCACAAGTCCGCTTATTGTTGAAGAATCTGGAATTACACTCATGCTCCTGGCTGCATATTTTCTAAGGATACCACCCTTTGAAGCTTCTGTTCGTAACTGATAAAAAAGATTCACCATTGATGGTTTTAATATAGTCCAGTTTGAAGTGAAGTTTGGGTTATTAAAACACTTGGTGTCGTCTTTATCCATAACAGTAGTGTAAAGCAATGAGGAATTCGAATAGACTAACTGACAATAATCATAGCAGCCCATTGCTTCCTTTTGGTATATACAATTCTCTTGTAGTTTACGGGTTGCATCATCTACGCAACGCTCACAATCACTCTGATCAATATCTGCTCTACAAAGAGCTACTGCATTGACTTTATCGAGCCCTTCTCCGGCTGTTTGATTGAAAAAACCATATCCATTATTTGTTTTGGTTATGGAGTATAGTACATCGTCTACGTTTCTTTGAAATGATCCGCTTGCTGTGTAGGTTCCATAGCAATATTGATACCAGAAATCAGTTTCGGCAATGGTGACACTAACAAGGTGGGTAACTATGAATAAACTAAAGAGAAAACACAATTTGAAGTTATCCATCTACCAAGAAAACTAGAAATATCAGTTTAGGAAGAAGTCGATAAAATATTAGACTGGAGTTGGGGTTGGGAATCTAATAACTTCAGTTTGAGAATGAATACGTGGTAAAGCATTATATGAACTCTAGTTGTTATGAAGAACCGATTATCATTTGGGATAGAGCTAGAAACGTCAAATCCGGAAGAAGCGTAATGGAAACCGCAACCAGATGAGAAAAGTAGAAAATGGAAACTTCAGTTTACATAATAAATCTATTAGGATTCAGTTCTGGAACAAGGTTGCAGAACATAAGTTTTAATATGTAGGACACAGCGATACAGGGTCAGGTGAGGAAAACAATGGTAGGTGTAGACAAGATGAACAAAGTATATTTTCTGTTTGTGGACCTGGGTGTGACAACTTTAGCAATGCAGGTGTTTTCTTTTGTAGGATTGGAAGTTGGATAAGGAATCTGTTTTCGGCTCTAAGGAAAAGGTACGTAGTTTTAGTTCGATTAATTAAGTAGAGAATAAGCACAATACTAGGTCCGGTTTATGCTCTATAATGTTATATTAATAATATAATTAGACAAAGGATCCTTGTCTTCACTCCGGTGTCTATAGGAAACAAAATTGATACTTTCGTTGTTTTTGTGACCCATAAATTAACCACTGCTGGCAGAAAAAGATTCTAACTTCTTTTATGAATTTAATTAGATACAAGAGCCAAAGAATGCTATGTGAAAATATGGAAACATTGGTTACGGGAATGTTTTGTCTTATTTTGACATCAGTTAATTAGTACCTAACCAGGGTAAAAGTAAGAAAGAAGCGCAATATTTGATGCTCTATAAAGCTCTAGGTCTAGGGAGTGGAGAAGGTATGGGCTCCGCAAGGAGGAGTGGAAGTGGAAGGTGGCTGAGGTGGAAGGATAGATGGCTTAGGATCAGGCACCTCTCCTCTCTCTTAGGCAGGATCTTGCAATATTCTCTCTATTCTCTCTTCCGAAACCCAAGAACATGAGGTGGAGGGGAGGTGGCGGCCACTCCTCATAACATAAGTTCTTAGCATTGTAGTCTGTAGACATTGGCCGATCCACCAGGTAGACGTGAAGAATGCATTTTCTTCACGGACACTTACATGAGACCGTATATAACTCAGTTTCCAGATCACATATGCCATCTTCAGAGATCTCAGACAGATGCCAAGGGTTTGGTATTACCGTTTTGCCCATCATGCCACAATCATCGGGTTTCACCGCAGACCCATCATTATCATTATTTATTCTTTATTCAATCGGGACGACTGCATATTTATTACTTTATGTTGATGACATTATACTGAATTGATTCTTCTACAACTCTCGTATTATTGACAAACTTAGTCGCGAGTTTGCCATGGTTATCGTCGGCCACTTAACTATTTTTTTAGGTATTTATGTTGTTCGATCTTGATCTTCCATAGGTTTTTTTTTCTCTCTCAACAAAAGTATGCCTCTGAGATTTTGGAACGAACCAACATGACAAATTGTAACCCATGTCGGAGTCCGGCCGAACCGGTCCACAAACTAGACGTATATGGGTCTTTAGTTGGTAATCCAACTCTATTTCATAGTCTAGCTTCAGTTCTCACCTTCATTAGAACTGACATTTTGAACGTCCCGATTTTCAACATAAAGTTTTCATTTTTATTTATTCAATATATTAGAATAAAATTACACTATGTGGAAAAGATGATGTGAATGCGCGTGTGTACAGTCGAGCTTTGTCCTTCTCACTAATCAATGAAGTACCTGACAAAACATTTATAATCAACTGGTAATCATGAAGCTTAGTGAGTTCCCAAAAATACCATATACCACAATACATACACATGCATACAAATAATGACTCACGACCTTTCGCCGATCCACCAATTGGCTCACGACCTTTCGCAGATCGACCAATAATATATGTATCTAGACTCACAGCCTACTGACCATTTTGTCATCAACACCCAGTTCTATAGGCTCCTAACATGTCGGTGTTCCGCTGTCAACCCTAACTACCGTAATAAATGTCACACCCCCAAACCGGAACGGCGGAAACGTCCGGGGGTAGATGACTTCATGTTAAGTATCACAACACATGCATCATAGTAATCAAAGTAACAACAATCATCGTATTGATAATATAATATTTACATTGTGTTCAAAACATTACATGAATAATATTAAAAGTACAACAAAAGTTAAGACGTAACGCTCCGTCTTCGCAACGCCTAAGAGAGAGTACTTGTCTACTAACAATCATGAGAATACAAGTGGTTTGAAAAAGTGTCAACATTAAAGTTTGTGAGTTCATAAGTATTTTTGTTATAAAAATTATACTCTTTGTTCTTTGGAAAAGTTCGTCTGTTCCTCCAGAAAATCCTATATTTTCTTAATAAGTAGAAAATCCTATATTTTCTTAATAAGTAATATGACTGTAGTTATTCCTTCTGTGATTATTTAGTGAATACAAATTATATATAATACAAATCGATTAGATAGTTGAATGTGTGAATCTGCCCTAAGCCCACAACCAAACAAGGAACATGAAATGAGGCGGAAGTCACACATTCCACTGTCTATCGGATCTTTATTATATATAATCCTAATGTATTCATCAAGTAATTACAGAATTAACATTAATGATTCTCTAGTAGAATGGTAACCACAATAGTTCATTCTATAATCACTTAGTTTATACAAACTATATATAACCTAATATCGAATGGACAGTTGAATGTGTGAATCTGCCCTAAGCCCACAACCAAACAAGGAACAGGAAATGAGGCGGAAATCACACATTCCACTGCCTATCGGATATTATTTATATATAACTCTGATGTATAAACTAAGGAATTATAGAATTAACCATTAAAGGTCCTTTATATTATACTAGTTTGATAATAGGTATTAAACCTTTTGTAAATAAGTTCCCAGTTCCATTTACTCAATTGTAAAACATTGTTTTCAGTGATAATTATTATCGTTTTCAGAAAGTTCTATCGAAAACTGTTTACCTTTAAAATAACGATGTTTACCATAGAAAATCCAATATTTTTTATAAAACCGACTGGTAGTCTTAATCGTTCCAAGACCGAAAAGCACAAGTATAATTACTGTACTTACTTTAATGATATCTAGTTTTGTTGATAAGTTAAACTGGATAAAGACTTGTTTGCCCTGAAAACCTGATGTGACGATATTACCCTCCTATGATCACTTAATACATACGAGTTGTATATAACCGAGATCGAATAGACAATTGAATGGGTGAATCTGCCTAAGCCCACAACAAAATAAGGAACAGGAAATGAGGCGGAAGTCACACATTCCACTGTCTATCGGATTTCAATTTTATCTAACCTTATTGTATATAATGAGTATCATATAGTTAATATCCCTTGGGAAAGTTTAGGAAAAGTATATTACTATGTAAATATATCGTTATTTTCTCCTTGTGAGTTTTATGACCATACTGATTGATATGACGTGAATTGGACGTCGATACCGTTTATGACGTTTGTCACCCACAGACCTGCCGGTTTAACTGTAGCTAACAGTTAAGGTGAGGGATTGCTGGTCCCATATAGATCTATACACAAACATACGCTCTCCCTCCAGGAGACTCTGGTTCATAAGGGTAGACTTACTCTGGTACTTAGATAAGTACACGAAGACTTGTCTCACAAACTAGATTAACGACTTTACAAGTAATAATGCGAAAACCTTTTTAATAACAAGTGATTTTGTGAAAATATCTCTTTGTTCCATAAAATATATTTATGATAGTTTATAAGTTTATTTCCATGTTTTAACCTGGACTTTGTAAAATAGTTCATATGATCCATAAACTATACCTATTATAGTTTATAAGTTTATTTCCATGTTTTAACAAGTTTCATGTTTTCGTTCACATTGATGGTAAGATAACGAAATAAGTAAAATTACATTTTTAAACACAAGATTTCTTGTGTTTTACTTATATTCCCCCCCCCCCCTAAAAACATTTAAAAAGCTTGGAAAAGTATGGGGGTATGAACTCACCTTAATTGAGTGATTCGATAGAAGATTTGGTATAGGACATTAGCTCCACAAGAGTTGTCTCGCTAACAAAGCGAGTCCTAAACACGATTCATATAATATATATGTATACTTATTAATGAATATAATCATAAGAATGATAGGGAATCGAACTAATTTGCAAGTTTAACTTACAAATAAGGGTGTTAGAAGCAAAGATGGAAAGCTGCAAGCTGTTCACGGCTAGCTGGGTGTTCACGACCCAAGAACACTTGGTGTTCTTGAGTTTACGGCCCAAGTTGGGTGTTCACGGCCCAACAATCTTGAAGAATGATGAACACTTGAAGATCCTAAGCAAGTTCCCTTGAAGATTAAGGGAAGAA